GAGTGGAAAAAAAAAGCAGCCCACTAGATTCTTTATCTAAAAATGTTTTTTGTCCTGACATGTAATGCTTTACATTTTATTTTTTAATTTCAAATCGGTGAGTTTTATAAAAAAAACACAAGAGATAAAAAAGTTTATAAACAAACTGAACTATCCAAATTTTTTTTTGCATCTGTTTGATAAGATTTTTCTTTAAATTTCGTTAACAAGAATGATAGGGGTAGTTTATTTCAACCCCTTCCACTCATTTTAAAAAAGTGAGAAAATTACCAGAAAGTGTGTTTTCATAACAGTAATGCTTCCATAAAATTTCATTAGTGTATCGCTTTTCGTTTTCAAGATAAAAAATAAAAACATTATTTTTCCGCCATCTTTGTATCGCGATATCTCCCTAATGGTTGACTTTTGACCCAACGTTTATAAAGCAAACTACCTTTTATTTTGAACAAGGAATCACCCCCTGAAGTTATTCGGATTTGTTTTGAAACACCCTGGATATGGGCAAAAATAAAAATAAGATGTTCAGACGACAATTCTTTAAACAGAGATATAAACTTAAAAAATACATTAATAAAAAACGACTATCCACCATCTTTTACTGAAAAAACATTAAACGAAATACAAACCCCAAATCATAGACACAATGATAACAATACACAATATATACAACTTACAATTCTATATATGCAAGGCGTTTTGGAAAAAATAAGATAGGAAAACAATATAACATACGAACATCTTTCAAAACACAAAATACACTTAGATCCATTTTATCACACACTAAACCAATGAATACTGAACAACAAACAAAAAATGTAATATAATACAAAATACCATATGAATGCGATACATTTTATATTGGTGAAACATCTAGACCCTTAAATATTCGAATTAAAGAACATAAAGATTTAAGGAAGGGCGATTTTCACAAATCTAGGATTTGTCAGCATTCATGGAACACAGGGCACAGAATAAATTTTAATAACGCCAAAATTATAACGAAAGAAGCGATAGCCACTAAAAGAAAAATAAAAGAGGTTTTTTTAATACAATCTAATAAAAATAAATGTATTGCTCATGCATCTGTAGATGTTAGTAATGTATGGCAATCGCTTCTTTGATTTTAAAGAACATAACAGAAATAAGCATTACATACGTAAAAATTAAAAACAAATTAAAAATAATCATACAGAAAGTTTGAGGCTTTTTGGTTTTACCTGTTTGGCTGGCACCCAGTAGGAGGACTTTATTTTCTTTGTTTGATGATAGCCATCTAAAAAATCCTATTTTTTTTTAGATAATAATACAGTGGAGCAAGATGCAACAAAATCAAAACAAGTGGGACTCAAGAGAGAGCTGGGACTTTTCTCAGCTATCAACTTGATTCTAGCTGTCATGATCGGCTCTGGAATATTCGTATCACCAGCATCAGCCTTAAAATACAGCGGATCAGTGGGAATGTGCATAGTAGTATGGACAGTATGCGGCATTGTTTCTTTATTAGGTAAATCATTTGTCAGAAATAACATAAAATCAGTGTATTTCCAGAAAAATATCTAAACATAGATATCAAGAAATATTCTAAAACCTCTCTAGATTCATTTATTTCTCTGGGAGTCTTCTAAATACATATACGCTGTGTATTAAGGTACTTTTATTTCTAGGTGCTTTAGCTTTTGCCGAACTTGGCACAGTGGTTCCACGGTCAGGTGCGGAGTTTGCCTATTTCATGGATTCTTTTGGACCGCTGCACAAATTTTGGGGTGCGTTGCCTGCGTTCCTGTATTCCTGGCTCATGGTGGTAAGCGTTCTTAGATACTATAGATTAGATTTGGTTTGATTTTTGGCCTGTTCCACTGCGATGGTGACCACTCTTGTGACTGCCTTTGCAATGCCTTAGAAGGGTTTTGCGTCCATGATGCGTATTGATGAGTCAATTTCATTCGCTTTTTTGTCTAGAGACTATTATAAATCTAATAAGTAAAATAAAATCAAAGATAATGTTTACTATACAGAGTAATCTATTTTCTTGTTGTCAGAAATACTTTGTTCAAAAAATACTGGAAAACGTCAAATATACCCAACACAAAAACGTACATATTAATCGCAAATATACAGGGTTGTCTATAAGAAGTTGAATTGAAATATTTATTCTATTTTAGGTGATAATACGACCAGCTGAGATTGCAGTCATCATATTAACTTTTTCGGAGTACCTGTGTCAACCTATTATGGATGCTCTCTCAATAGATGATCCATATACAAGTGAAAAAGCAATAAAATCAATAGCAATCGTAGCTTTAGGTAACTGAAAACCTAGTTATAGTCTGTCATTTTAATTTATTTTTTTTTTATTTCTACTAACTGTATTTACAACATTTTAGGTGTTATGACGTACATTAACGTAAGAAGTGTCAAACTCTACGTGATAATTCAGAATGTATTCGGTTCCTTCAAAGTTCTGGCCTGTTTGGTTGTCATATTCGGGGGAATCTATGAGCTGTGGTGCGGCAGAACGGAGAACCTGTTCAAAGGGTTCGAAGGTACAAGCTTTAGACCGAAAGATGTCGCTTTAGCTTTTTATAGCGGGCTGTGGGCTTACGACGGCTGGTAAATAAACAATAACAAGTTATTATCGTTCAAGAAAAAAAAACAGCTAACATTCTACAAAAAGAAATTTTTATTTTTATTAATATGAGATTTATTTTTTTTACTATTTTTTTATAAAACACCCTGTACAATATTTAAAAAAATATCTTTTTTTCAAACGTTACAAAAACATTTATTTTTGTGACGTGATTGACAATATAAAAACGTCATTTTAACGCTTAGGAATATAAGTAAAACGCTTTTAAACTTTTAACACTTTAAAACGCTAAGTAAAAAAGCACAAGTACAAAAATATATCATTAAACTGACATTAAGTGTCAAATTCAACGAATGTACCCATTGTTGTTCGATATAGGCATAATTACTTACAAGATACCGTAAAATAAAAAAAAACGGAGTCCAGTTGACTTGGAAATTAACATCGATATAATTTGCATATAAAATAACAGCGATCTTCATTTCATAGCCATCGATGACGCCGTTTTTTTTTCAATCATATTGTATTACTATTTATATTATTTGCGAATTTTAAAATTATTTAAAACTTTTTTGTGACGTTTGAAAAAAATTGCATGTTCTATTCGGAGTAAAAATGTACTTTTTGTACTTTGCCTGTAATGTCAAACGTATAGTATAGTCTCGCCACAAAGAGTATTATTTTACTCCTAATAAAAACTATATAGATACTACAATATGATCGAAAAGAAAAAAAAAACGGCGTCAGCGATAGTTATGAAATGAAGATCACTGTCATTTTATATTATGTAAAATTATATGGGGACTGTCATCGATCGTCATTTCCAAGCCAACTAGCCGCCGTTTTATTTTCGATTATACGGTATTATTTAAAAACAAACCAATAAATATTTAATAAATATAATAAATTATATGTTATTTTAACTGTTGTTTTATCGGTATTCAGCCAAAATGCTTGTTTGCAATAGATATATCCATAAATGTATTGCTTATATTTATACAAAAATAATTAATTTGTATAATTGTTTACTAAAATAAGAATTCTTTTAGGTGTACAGTAACAGTGGTAACTGAAGAAATAAAGAGACCAGAAGTGTAAGTATTTATATAAGAGTTCATACACAACAAAACGCGTCTCATATATTAAGAAATTATGATATGCTGTTCTCAAATTTACAATGTATTATTCTAATACAAGACTTGCATTCTTCATAAAGGGTTTTTGGCTTGTTCTAAAATATTTAATTCCGTTTATAATTTTTCAAGTTTCCATACCGTTTCAGAGAAGAGTAAAAAAATAATAAAAATATAGTTGGATTTTTTCTCTATGGTAATATAATTTCCTTTCCATCAATCTTAATTAATCTAATTTAATTATGTTTTAAAATATAAAATTGTAAGAAGTGAAGCGTTTTATTAATTTTGAAAATGTTTTTTTAATATTTTAAATAACGTTTTTTTCTTAGGAATATTCCCAGGAGCATAGCTATTAGTGTTCCCATCGTTACCTTGCTCTATGTGTTTATGAACATAGCTTACATGACAGTGCTATCCATTCCAGAGATGGTCGATGCCAAAGCCGTGGCTGTTACATTCGGTGAACGAGTATTAGGACCATTTTCTTTTATAATACCACTGGGTGTAGCTTTAAGTACCTTTGGCTGTGCTCTCAGTGTACAATTTGGTGTTACAAGGTAGAACTAAAAAAAAACTTGTTTATTATATATAAAGTTTTTTTTTAATCGTTTTCTTTTTTTTTTGGTAGGCTATGTTATGTTGCTGGGCAAGATGGATTCATGTTGGAGAGTTTCTCCTATGTCCATTATCAAAGACACACTCCCTCTCCCGCTGTAGCATTTCAAGGACTTGTAGCATTTTTATTCATAATTAGTGGAGACATAGTGCAGTTGATTGAGTTTGCCAGTTTTCTGATCTGGATGAGCTACGGAACAGCTATGGTATCATTGTTGATATTGAGGAAAACGAAAAAAGATGTGCCTAGACCTTATAAGGTATTAAAAAATATTTTATTTCTTACTGAGCAAACTCATAAGCCTTTTCTGAAATCGAAATATTCTATAAGTTAAAATACTTTCATTAATTTAAGAGACACCTGTATGTGATACGTAGTTTACCTGAAAAACCTCTGAAACCTGATTTTTTTATTTTTCTATTCCAGGTGCCTCTCTGGATTCCAATTTTCATACTACTAGTTGCCATATATCTTAGTGTGACACCGATCCTCACAGATCCAGATCCTATGTACCTGTTTGCACTATTATTTACACTCTCAGGAGTACCAATCTATTATTGGTGTATCTACAAAGGACAAAAACCTACACGATTGTTAAGTAAGTATATACAGGGTGAAACAATACTAATATATTTTGTATTAAAAAAAATAATACATTTTTTTATAAATTTAAATAATTTATCTCTATTTTTTAATACAAACAAATGATTTATAAAAGTTTTTCGTAGATTATATGTGTTTTATATATAAAATTATTTTATTTTCAGATAAGCTGACTTACTTGGTTCAAGTGTTATTTGAAGTTGTACCTCCGGATAGCTGATAATATCTTAATACGCGTATATTTCTTGATATTAAGTACCATACCTGCCTGGATGATTGTCTGTGTTGATATTTTCGTCTACAGAATAAGATACTTTTTTTATTTATGTAATTTAAGAGTCAATTATTATAAACTATGATGATGTAGTTAGTTGCTGTGTTTTTTTAGAAATATACAGGGTCTCTCTTTAATATTGTAAATATTTTAAAAAGTGGTAAATTTTGACAAAATAAATATATTTATTCTTTTATTTGTCCTGCAACCTATCAAAGATTTGATTGATTAACAAAGATAAACTTTGAAATTATTTAAGTTTTGTAATAAAAATATTATAAATAAAAATGTAGTTTATTGTATTAAATAAAACGACAATTTTTTTCTAAATATAACTTTATTTTTAACAATATTATTGTCTAATTATTTTTAACAATACATCATATTTAATAACAATTTGAATTATTCTTAAATTATAACAACAAAATAAAATATTTAGCACCAATTTTTTGAGCAAGATCTCAATATAACTTTACACAAAGATATTTTTTTTTAATTTTTCAAAAATTATAACAACGATTTTTTTAAATCATCATTGTCGTTCAGCAGAGGATTCTAGTAAAATCACTAGAAAGAGAAACATTTTATGTAGAAAAAATCAATAAGATAAGTCCACAGGCATGTTTCTCAGTGACAATTAACTTGGTCTATATTTAAATTATTGAATAAGATTCTTTTTTGAGAAAAAAAATTGTAGAAAATTATTACTTGGTATATTCATTAAACTTAACATCTTATTTAACAGTATATACCTACAAATAAAGGTAACAACTTTCTTTTTCCTTAAAAACTAGGCAAAAAAGATAATATAGCATAATTTTTTTGGGTACGATCGCAAGAATCTTTGTATAAATTTACAGAAAATGCATTTCACGATATAAAAACCTTTGATCATATATACTACGTGGATACAGCTATGCCATAAGATTTGTATAAGGACTATGTTGTCTAAATACATCAGTTAGAGAAGTTCAGAAAAGTTTCTTCTAAAATCAATAGGGGAGACAATAATGTCCTGAGCTGGATGCATAAACCTGTATAAACTGTGATTATAGCTTTTCCACAAAAGTATAATATTAAGATCAAAGATAAAAACAACTATTTAGATATCTTTAGGTGGATTGAAATACTCCCAATGATGCAAATGAGTCACTGTCCTGTCTTGACCAAAGCCCAACAAAATAAGGCCAGCTATTAGCACCAGAAGAATCACTATGATCACGTGCATATCCTGTTGACCATCGGCGTTTTGTAGTAGGTTCTCCGATACATTGTAGATCAGTCTTTTCAAAGCGTTCTGAGCTCGCGAGCCGCAGGCAAAGGCCAGTCTTCCGGTCAGTTCAGAGATAGAAGGCTCAGAAACACGTCTCGAACTTCGATGGGATCTCGCCTGGGCTAAATCCGAGTCGTCGGAAGTGGATCTAGATCTACAAATGAAAAAAAACAATGTATTTTTGAACTATATAACTAAAGTGACCAATATAGTAGATACACACCTGGACATTGGTCTCGATCTACTCCTGTGACGCCTCTTCCTCCTGGGCACCGTTGGAATGTTCTCTCCTTCCACACCATCCACATACTGTTTTCATTAGTTTCGCAACAAATCTGTGTTTTTACGCGTTTCTATGCTAATAAAATTATACTAAATAATTTTGAGTGAATAATGAACTATCTAGATCCGATTCATAACATCGTACCCGCGACGTGTGTCCGGGCTAGGAAAAAAGTTGGGGAATTTATATAAAAACATAATTAATAGCGTTAGTGTTAGTGTATAGTGTTAAACCAACGTAAGTGACGTGTATTTTTATGTAAAACAGTTTTCGTTTCTTTATTTTTACTTTGTGAAATAAAAAATTCCGCGACATTGTTCTGTGCCTGTGCCTTGTAGCAGCAATTATAATAAGTCCTCAGGATCTGTCTACATTCTCTTTCCCAACAATATTAACTTTAACTAGGTCGCGTCCAAAACCTACAGAACATGCTGTGCCTACAATTTTTCCAAATCAACCCTCTTATGGACCCTCTGTGCATGTTCCCATAAAGAGAAAACGTCCTGATAAAGGAAAACAAGATTTGGAAATTCAGGATGAAATAAATATTGAAAAGTATTATTATTATTATGAAATGGCAATATATTTTAAAGAAATTAAATGAATTTGTACTTTATTTCAGCATTTTATATAAAAAAATGATATCTTTATCTTTTTATTTACGATTTATGGAGATGGTTACTTGATGAACATGACGAACTACGAATTACTTAATGTTAAAAGTTAATTCTATCTGATATCCAAATTTTTAAATATGTTAGGCAAATTTTTACAATTATTTTTAATTGAACTTTAAAATGTATTCTGCCGTTATCATATACAATACATTTTCTTAACTTGTCGATAAACGTATAGTTTTCAAATTTTTTAATATTTGGAAACTTTTTATCACAGGTATATTATTACTAGTTGCTAAATACTCGCTAACGCAATTTTAGGACACGCTTTTTATTATCTAGATTTTATTTTGTTCATCTTATGCTGTAGTTTATTTCATATTAATATTCGTGCTTTAGATCTAAATTTTAATGCTATTCAATTACTTTAACGCGATAAAAAGTTAATGTTATTTTTAATACCTTTCTGTATAATATTTTTCATATTTATATCTGGCAAAATATCAATAAATACTATTATTTATGCAAAACCTATATGCAGTACCATATGGCACAATACAAAAGCCGGACTAGTGCGGTGACAAATAGAAAAAAAAACAATGTATTTTTGAACTATATAACTAAAGTGACCAATATAGTAGATACACACCTGGACATTGGTCTCGATCTACTCCTGTGACGCCTCTTCCTCCTGGGCACCGTTGGAATGTTCTCTCCTTCCACACCATCCACATACTGTTTCGCTCTAAGAGCATAGAAACTCGCAGGGGGCTGCGAGGGTGCGTACATCCCCTCCACGGGCTCGGGAGGTCTGGGAGGAGGTTCATCGTCCACTTCCGGCTCGAGCATTTCCCCCCGAACTACCCTGGGAAGCACATTTTCCGAAGAAGCCTCCTGATCCGACCGAGACTGCGCCAACGGTGTTTCTTGCGATTCGTACCCTCTTGGAGGCGGTTGGGGAGGTTCAGGACTGGATTCAGGGAGGTTAGGGGATAATTGGGGTGGATTAAGCGGGTTTAGTTCTTGCGGGGAAGTTTTTTTTTGTTCGTGCTCTTCCAGTTTCCTCATTACTTCCTCGAGAAGCTTCTGGGGTAGCTGGATATCGCCCACTCTAAGTGCAGGACCTCCAGATCGGTCTTGGATGTCGTCAGTGAGGATGGAGTGGGCGTCTAGTTCAGAAACGACGATTCGGTTGGCTAGGACTTCGTTCACTCGAAGTCTGTCAACGTCTAGGTCTTGAATCTGGAAAAAATAACGTCATAAGTCAAATAGATTATTATCTTATCTACCTACCTGAAGTCTTTCATTTGTTTCAGGGTTCCTAAGGGCTTTAAAGCTTTCAGGTATCTCTGAGGTTTCCTCGTCGGAGAATTCTTTGGTAACTGGAACCAAACGTTCTCTAGATGAAAGTTGAGAGTCTGGAATAACTTTAGCACCATTCAACGGTTCAACTATCAAGGAGCCGTGAGTAACCGTCTCTTGGTAGGAGTAAACTGAAGGCGTTATCAACCTAGTTTCTCTTCTAGAATAGTCTTGGTTTGTTTGTTCTTCTCCGGAGCGTTCAGCAGAAATTCGAGGAGATTCTCGAACATTATCTGGTGAATATTCAGGAGGTATCGATTCTGTTTGGTTCGCGTAGGATGATTTGAATGGTGCTGAAGTTTCTGATGAAAATGCAATGTTTTCTTTTGATGTGATGTCCTAAAAATATAATAATAATAGTATAATTATTTTACTTTATAGGTTATTTGGAGTCTAGACTTACTTGTAGGGATTTTCTGAAAGTCCTGGGTTTCCTAGGAGGTCGTGGAGGTGCTGGTAGAGGTCTCTGTCTCATCTTCTGTACGACTTCTCCAGAAATAAGGTCTCTGTTAATGTCGTCTTCGATCTCCATGTATTGGGTTATGTCAATCTGATAAAATGCAATCCGTTAGTAGGGAAGGAGTGAGAAAAAAAACGTAAAATAAAGAAATAAAGAAGAATAGAGATAAAATAAGCTATTTTGGTTTTAAATTAATTTTTAGTCACTTGATTCAGCTTGATCAGCACAGCGTTGCCAACTTTTACATATTTTCTTTTAATGAAAATATTTTAGGAACCAAAATTAAATTAATTATAAATATGTATTCCTTTACCTCATTTTCTTTGTTTTCTCCATCATTTTCGTACAGATTTTCTTTGTTTCCTTTGCCATTCGAATGTCCTATAGTACTGTAATTCCTCAAAGGCCTCGTCGGTGTCCCTTTATGAGGCATGGTAGCAAATTTCTGTTCCACTTGTCTCTTCCTTCTCCTTGAAGGTGTTCTGGGAGGAGGCAAAGGAGGTTCCCTGGGAGGTTTGGTCTTATCCACAATAGCGTACCCCATATAATCTCTTATATCCTGAATGCACGGCTCCTCGACGCATGGTTTATTTTGTTGTATGTAGGACGGACTTTGTTGAAGCTCTATTAGTTAGTAAAAATTAATGACTTAGAGTTTAACGCACTGGACCAAAATATGTGATGTAAAATTATAGGACGCCATTTTTTTGGCGTAAGTTTTTAGCCGTTGATAAAAATAGTAAAGTAAAAATAATAATAAACAGAAAATTATATTTTTTTCCATAGCAGCTGTTAAAATTGATTTATATCAGTATCTATCAAAAATAGTAGATAAAATAGTACTTTAACCGCAAGAGTAGATTAAATGATACTTTAACAGCGAGGATAGGTTAAAAACTTTATTTCTTCTCACACGTTTTTTAATTGCTTCCATTTTTGAAAATTTTTGTATTCCTTTTCATAAGTTATTCGGGATTTAAACGGAAGTAGTTTGGATATGGCGTTTGTCGCCTCAGCCTGAATATCTGTTGATAATTTACTTATTTCGTTTTGAGCCATTTCTGGCTCCAATTCAATCAGCAATCGACACGAAAGAGAATTAAAAAATATTGACTCAAAACTGACAACTAAAGAGACAGCTTTATATTTATTTGTCAAATTACATAGAAACCAACGCCAACCCAGCACTATATTTTTTCTACTCGTAATACATTTCTTGAAATAATAATTTCTGAATATTTTTTAAAACGTAACTCGCTATGGAAAAAATATTGTTTTATACACGACGATAAAATTGCATAATCGTAATAAAATACCATTTTATCGTCTTGTATAAAAAATAACTATTTATGGATTGAAATGTTACCTGGATTGTATTTGTTCTGGTATTGATTTTCAATGAGATAGCTGGGTATTGGTTGATTTTCCAATAAATAACTTTCATCGGCCAATAAACTATCTGCATCACGTTGACTGGGGGGTAAAGAAACCCTTGATAGGCTGCTAGTGCGGGAATGAGATCTCCTACCTGGTCTTTTGGGCGGAGCTTGTGTAGAAACAACATAATCTTCGATAGAAACCTACAGAAATAAACATATTTTTAATACAATCAAGGTATTATTGAGAACTGTCTCCTTTTTCGTTATAATTATTTTGTTCAGCATGTAATAATCATATCTGTTTCTAAATTTTACTGATTCAGGCATTTTGTTTGTATATGGTTTGGTTATTAGGAGATATTTTAAAAAACTTATATTTTTTCAGTTTGTTATAATTTTGCTGTGTATGATTAATCGTTCTTATTTTAAATACAACATATATACGAAAATACGAAATGGTAGAAGAATAAATATATTCGGGATAACTAATACACAGCTCGGGATCTGTACCACCAGAAATCAACAGAAGAATTAATTTAGCATGGAGTACTTGTGGAAGAAACTCAATCACATTCAAATCTAGAATACCACTCTATCTAAAGAAGAAAACATTCGACCAATGTGTACTACCAGTCATGAACTATGCATGCAAAGTCTGGACATTTAAAAACGGACATTATAAGGAAGCTGCAGGTGGCACAACGCTAGGAAGCCAAGTCGATTTCTATTAACTTAGTGCAAAACATGTAGAGACCAAAACTAAGGAAGAGGAAAAACTCTATAAAAAACGTTGTATGGTTTTTTTTCGTGCGACTACCCAAAGTATCGAATTTTACGAAAACAAAATTAAAGTTTCATGTAATGTACGTGTTGAATATATCCGGGGTTAACTGTACTTGTTTCCACACCACCTTGAGCGGCACCCCCGATACGTAAAGCCTAAAAACTTGTTTGCTACTAGTTGGCAGTAGCCTGCTGTCGCGGTCATAATGGAAGAACGCAATTTGCATTATGACCGCAATAACGGACTAAATTTTTATTGTTGCGCGACTGGTGGGAAATCAAGTTTAACCGCCTTATCTCTCAGGGAACTGCCTTGAGGTAAAGTAGGTACTCGGCGCGTTTTTTTTTGAGTGGTCTCCCCATTTTCAATAGGCCTAATCCACATGTCGTCAACTTAGGTTTCTTTTGAGGTGGAAGGTTCATCAGAGTTCCTTCGTTTTTTAAACGGTTTTATTTAGCTCGACCCGTACGGTATTTATTTATTTGTTTGTTTATTTGGGTCAAAATTAGAAATTGAAATTTAAATACCTTCCTGTTGTCAGATTGGTCTGAAATCTGGTACACACCTTTAGTTCCGATGACAATACAATATAGTAATATCAATAACATTGTAAATCTAAGATGGCCGCCGGTACAAAATGGCGGATTTCATATTTTTCCACAACCCCCTCAATATGGGTATCAAATGAAAGGGCTACACTAGTAGAATGCTGTGATTATGACAAAATTTAAAATCCAAGATGGACGTCGTTACAAAATGGCGTATTAGGTGAGGGCATGAGTGGTCGGGTCCAGAACAGTTGTGTCCAAGATTGTTTGACGTTAGAAGAACAGATAAAAAAAAATAGGCGATTAGATGTACCTACGTAGTTAGCGGTAGCTTTACCACCCAAGTTAAGGTAATAGGTTAAAACGTGCTGAGGACTGTATGGCATTAGGGTGGCTAAAAATGTAATGTTGCAAGCGTTTTCCCCTCAAGATTGGGCGCCTCTTGTTGTATATTACAGCCTTGCCCCTCTACTGGACCTCTGGGGGGTCGACCGTTAAAATGTCTATTACTCGTGGGAACAACATGGAAACAATAAATAAAAAACAAACAAAAATAAAAATCGGTAAAAAACTTTTAAGTTAAACGGTTTTATCTTATGTGCACTGAAAACCAGAAAATAATAATAACAATTAGGTATTTTGAACTTCTAGTTCAGAAATATTTTAGTACTAGGCAGAATAGCTTTTAGGCATATTAGACTAAAATAAAAACGTGGGGGGCCCCTCTGAAATCCTACCTATGGCAAAGCATATCTTTATACTTTGGTAGATCATGAGCTCGGCGTTCGCTGGTGAAGCCGCCACGGCTGGTTATTGATTGTCAAAATCTCCAGTTACGATTATAGTAAGTCGATGCAATCCACACTTAGTATAGAAGAAAGTATTACAGCAATAGTTAATGGGCCCCACGTTTTTATTTTAGTCTAATATGCCTAAAAGCTATTCTGCCTAGTACTAAAATATTTCTGAGCTAGAAGTTCAAAATACCTAATTGTTATTATTATTTTCTAGTTTTCAGTGCACATAAGATAAAACCGTTTAACTTAAAAGTTTTTTTACCGATTTTTTTCTTGTCTGTATAATGCGGATGTGGTGTCGCAGCCACTAAATGCGTAGAGAAATAAAAAAAGAGTTCTCGGAAAGACAAAAACTGCCTAGAATAGAGGAAATAATAACTGCTTATAATATATTAAGCGTGTTAAACCGAGATAACTTGGAAACGGGTCGTCGCACGGAAAAAGTACATAGAACGTTTTTTATAGAATTTTTCCTCTTCTTTAAGTTGATAGAAATTGAGTTATTGACAAATAATGAAAAATAAACCGAATTTTAGCCACTTTTTCCAAGATGGCGGCCAAATCCGGGCTTTGGGGTGGTGCAAATTTAACACGTGGTTCCTTACACTAAACTAAACAAAATAAAATTTATTCTAGCTTGTCCGGATTTGCTCCCGCCAAAAGCTATTTTTTAATACTTGGCGACTGGCCTAACAATGATTTCTATCAATAATATCATTACATTATTGATAAATTATGACCAGTTACAAAAAAAAACTACTGGACTTACGTTTCGATTGGTGTCAGGTAGAATAAATTCAGTTTCCGACGTTGTCAGACTTTTCAAACTGCGATGTTTTCTAGGAGGAATGCTGGGTTCTTCCGTTAAATCTTCGATTTCTCTTAACGCGGAAGATTCTTTGGACTTGTCATCGTATTCTTCAAAGTCCCTATCGTCCCTTTCATCGTCCCCTAATATTCCCAGGCTTTCCCTAGGGAAATTCAACCTAAAATCGAATGATTTAAGTGATTTAGCCTTTAATATTAAAGTACAGGGTGTTCTATTTTCGTGTGCAGCACAGGATAATCCACTTTTAGTAGTGGCATTTTTACAAAATATACTGCCTTAGCACTATCGAATACTACATTTTTTACAAACCTTTGTCCTCTAGGAGCCTCCTCCAAATTGATGGTCTCCTGATAAGGCACTATTACATCCTCTACTCTCCTCCTACCCTTCTTGCTTCGTCTTTTGGGCCTAGAAGGCGGTGGTACTACCCCTTCCAGAGACTCCTCGTCGCCAGGGATGCGTTCCTGAGACACGTGTGGTGTCTTTCTTCGTTTGGGCTTCTTGATGGGAGGCCTTTTTTCTATCACTTGCTGGGGAAGACTCCTGTTCGATCCTATAGGGTCGTATTCGTTCATTTGGGCCAGGGCGTTGGCAGGTGTTTGGAAACCTTCCCGTATTTCGTGCACGACGAAAAATTCGTCAGAATCAATGTCCAGTTTACCTACAAATTAGATTTAAAAAATAGTTGGTTTGGATTAATTTTAGATACAAGTTATTTTATGAATTATATATTGTGTGACATAGAAATTGCAACACCCAGTATCACCGAGACTTTCCAGATCTATTGTAACCTCTCTTTTTGAGTTATAACTCATCATAGAATCTCTAGGCTTTGTCAAAAGTCAAAAGCCAGTATCTGACATAGTATCTGATCTCTTGGGTGTTCCAAATTATTTTCTTCCTTACCTAGACGTCCTTTTTTCTGTAGACTGACACTGCCCTCACTGGAATATCCATCTTTGATTTGATTATTCTCATCTTCATCCAAGTTATCCAGATCAGTAATAAGTTCTCTGTTAGGTCTACTGTTGTAGTATTCTTCAATGTCCTCTTCGTCTATATATTTCGGTTCATCATGTTTCCCATACCTTTAAAGAAAAGAGTAAAAACACTATAGATGGGGTATGTTATACATTTATAAAACAAAAACTGTTTTTTTAATATACTTGTTGTACCTTTGGCCAACTCGTTTGAATCTTTCTTCAACCAGTTGTCCAACGATTCGTTCGTCTTCCCTATCGACATCGTCGTCTTTGGCAAAATTGCCATGTTGCCAGCGGTTCAAGAACTCTGCTCTGTTGATCTCCTGGTTTTCTCTTTCGTACTCATCTTCTATGGCGATGTCTTTGCTGAATCGACCATGAGATGATCGCTCTATGTCCGTCGATGTCTCTCTGTCTTCGTAACTGGTTCTGGGAGGTATATTTTCTAGAAAAGATAAAAAATAAACGGTTCAACAATATTTCTGAAGACTGAAATTTTTTTATTTACCTGTTTCTGACTCCCAGCGATCCTCAGAATCCTCAGAATGCAGAGGAACCCTTACGCTTTCATCTGTGGTTTGCGATTGTTGGTACTCTTGATGTTTCTTCGTTCTTGGAACTGTACCAAAGGCTGTTTCAGAGGCTTCAGGCTGTTTCTTCTTCTTGAAACGCGGAAATGTACCAGAAAAATCGAACTTTGACTTCTTCTTAGTCTCTGTATCTCCTAAAGAAATAAAGAAAACCTCTAGCAACCTCTTGTCTCTATATCTTCATCTACCACACCAAAAATGTGTTTTTTCCTACTTACCAACATTGGATTCAGTCGAATGTTGCCTGGTCTCGATCGTTTCCTTCTCTATCACCTTCTTGGACCCTTTCAGCCCAAAATTGGGCAAATGGATAGTAGCAGTGTCCGGTATCTTGGGCAGATGAAAATTGGGCTTCTCGATTTTGAATTTCTTGAAATCCGGCTTCTTGAACTGAGGCTTCTTGAACTCCGGCGCTTTTGGCATGTTGATGTGGGGCTTCTTGATGTTCTTCATCTTCGTACATAGCTCGCTGGTTTTGGTTTTGAGTTGATCGGTTGTATGTCGAAAAGCAGCCTAAATGAATATTTTTGATGTTGGGGAATTAAGGTTCGTATAGACGAGTGAAGTCAGCTGATCAAGTCATTTCAATTCAGTTTATATGAATGTAATATGGCTGTCTAAATCATGTCAATGATCAAACGAGTTGATTCATATTTTGGTTGAAACGTGTAAACTAAGAATATGCTTTCAAGTTAGTTGAATTCCTGTGAGTTGATCAGCTCACTTGAATCAATCAAATCAAAATTTTACTTTCCTAACCTGGATTTTGTTAGGTCCTTCTTCAGTCTTCTCATGCTGGTCATCTTCCAAATGTTCCATGGAAGAATCCCTTCTGCTACGGCCCTGTACTTCTGCATCCGTCGCGGTTTTTTCTTTGTGGAAACGTCCGAAGTCGAAAAAGGACTTTTTCCTGCCCCTCCCTGCTGCAGGGTCGTCCAGAATCTCCGTAGCGCTGATCACAACCCTGGGCTCGTGATTGGTATCGATCACAGTGACGGCTGGTGATACTATTACCTCGTCCGATGGAGGATTGATGAGCTCGTATTCGTGGTCACTGAAATGCATAACAAAAAGAAATAACTGAAATTGCTGCTTGCTGGATGTATATTTTTAGTCTTTACTTGAGTATTTCATATTTCTGTAAAGCTAGATCAATTATGCTTGTACAAAGTGTTAAAGTGTAGGTATAACTATGTGGAACCATTAGAGATACTGAATTAACTTGGACACTCCTATAATGACATATACAGGGTGTCCTAGGCTGAGAGTGCATTAGAAATTTCTAGAGAACTATAATAATATCTAGATTAGAGATTTTTTGCACATCATTGTTTTACAGCGTGATCTATCGATTAAAAATATTTTCAATATGGCGGCACTTTCGGAAATACCGGTAGTTGACAGCAACTTTCTTATTTTAAATGGGTGTGCCCGTTTTTTTTACATAATTAAATTCTCTGTACAATTTTATGAATTTTGATATTAAACACTCTATACCTAACATTAACCGTTTTCGAGAAAAAAATATTTAAAATTTTTGGACGAAAAAAATTACCTGTCAAAAAAATTGTATTGCCTAAAAGTTAAATTTAGTAATTACCACAGCCAATTTATTAAGGTTTAGTTTTAAAACGTATATTTTACTTGATTTTATCTAGCTTCCTTTGACATTAAGCGTCAAACAATCAGACAATTTATTTCCATCTGTCAGAAAACTAATTATTTTAATTTCCTGTATTATAAATACTGCCTGCTTGAGAGTTTAAAAAGTGTATTTATAAAAATATATCTCGTATTTTCGCTCTTTAGTGATATCTAATAGTTGATATTATTAATAATGTTCCGTATGATCGAAAAAAAACAGCGCAAAGTTGGCTCGCAAATGATGATCGATGGACATAATGCTTCCTGAACAAAGTGTCACAATATGACATGGCTAGATCTATTTTTTTACATTACTTGACGTTTAAAGTCATAGGCTACTGACGTTAATAAAACTAAATCTTAAATAACTTAAAAACGATTTATTTTAGGTATAGAAACATGTATAGTCAAAAAGTAACGAATTGAAAAGCCTTTTCACCAGTAAAATAAAAAAAGTGGGATTCCATTTGAAAAAAATGATTTATGATAATGGTTTAATCGCTCAATTCTATGACAGCTCCGGCCATTATTATATGACATTCGAACAATTTAATTTTTGAAATAGATAGCCACATGTTTTCTCTTTTTAACTCACAGTGGCTGTGGTAATCACTCAATTTGACGTTTAGGGTATACACATATTTTTGACAGGCAGTTTTTTTCGTTCAAAAATTTTAAATATTTTTTTCTCAAAAACGGTTAATGTTACATATGGAGTGTTAATGTAATATTTAATTCATAAAATTTTACGGAAAATTTAAGTATGTAATAAAAAATGGGGGAACCCATTTAAAATAAGAAAGTTGCTGTCAACTTCCGGTATCTCCGGAAGTGCCGCTATATTGAAAATATTTTTAACCGATAGATCTCGTTGTGAAACAATGCTATGCAAAAAATCTCCGATCTAGTTATTGTAGTTCTCTAGAAACTTCTAATGTACGCTCAGCCTGGGACACCCTGTATAACTATTAAAACAGTAGTGGGTCTACTAACAAGGCATTTCAGGACTTCAAGGAAAAATCCAAAATTTTTATTGATTTGAGTAAAAACAATCTTCGAATTGTAAAAACGGTGTTTTTAACAGGACAATATCTCCTCAATGAAAACCTCCACTAGATTGAAGCTAAGAAACAACGGCGAACGCATATAGAGAAAACTTACCGAAAATGAACGCTCTTAACCACAGGCTGCCCTACAACCCCCACGGAGTTCCCGAACCCCACCCCCGGCTTGGTACCCACCAAGCTAAGCCGATCCGGCAACAGCGCGTTCGATTGGAAATATTGACAGGCGCACCTGACGTCGAGGGATGCCACACTCGACCCCGCCGAGCTCTCCCGAGACACGTTGCGCTTGCTCGGCTTCCTCCGCGACCCCTCGGACATCGATCGGCTGTTTTCGGTGCGGCCGGAGAACGACGAGCGCCGCCTAGGCGTGGTGCCGATCCGCTGACTCTCCATATTCTGGCGGTAAATTTGAATTGGACTTTAAGGGTGGTTTATCGAGGGGTTAAATTAGGGTAAAAAAGTTCGGATGGCGTATCGAAGTCGCCATGGTCGAGCGAGGAACAGTTGAATAGCTGGCCGTTCCGGAGCCAAGCACCGACTGAGTTATTTTTGGTCGAGTCGCTATTGTGGAGTATGTGCGGAAACCGTGTCGTTGGTATTTCGACTATTTTTAATAATTCGTCCCCGAGAGATTTGGCTGCGAAATAGTCGAAAATCCTACACGAAGTGGGACTGTGATTTCGAGTTATCAATGATTCGATTCATATTTGTCAAGCTGATGTATAAAAAAAACGAACAGTCTACAGGGTATTAAAAAAATAATACAGGGTGGCCCATCGAAAACGTTTCGCAAGAAATAAATCAACTAATCGAGAAGCATTTCTCACGCTTGCGTAGTTCAAAGCTGTTGAACGAAAAGGACCGACTTATGTGGATTTTGTATAGCTCCATCTCAAAAATTTGGCTTCAATTTCTATTCCTGACTAACACTAACCTCTGTAAAACCGTCTCAGATACTGGCTTTAGCAAAAGCCCTGAGACTGTATGATGAGTTACAAAAAAAATATTTTTATTATTAAATCTTATAATAATACTGTACATCGGGTAAATTAAAAAAAGACAGTAGTAGAAACCTTTTAAAGAATAAAATATCCCAAATATTCGAAACAAAATGAGTCAGGCACCAGACGACAATTGAAGATGGCTATTTTCTTAATTTAAAATGTATTTGGCACGGGTACAACATTGCGACATTTTAACGAAACGCAGCTTATCTTTTTGTCTCCATTAGCACAGCAAAAAGCAACGAAATTTCACAACAAAAGTCCGTTTCCTGATGACGAAAATACGTACAATTTCAATCTTAGTTTAACATATACAGGGTGTCCCATTTTCGTGTTTATTTTATGGGGTTTCTCGTTTATGAGTAAGAGATATACATACAAAGATGCGGTTTTCACATCACTGTACATCACTGTTAGATAAAATAATTAAAGACGCTACACACATATTTGTTCTTCTTGAAAAACAGGGTGATTTTGAAAAAGCCGCTTTTTTCAAGCCTCTTCGTATCTTCATTATCTTATAACTTATCGAAAAAGCCACACTGAGGCCCGTAGAGTTTTTTTACGTAGAATCCAGTGGTGTTACTAGTTTTTCGCTGGTAGCTGTTCGAAATATGACTCAAACATATTTTTTTTTTAAATAGGACACCCGTATATTTTTTGTATTTGCCTGTTTTTCTAAAAATATGATAATATACTCTATTCCTATTTTCATAAATACGGCAATAAATGCATTATTTAACTTTTTAAAATAAATCAACCTAGTTTTAAAGAGTATTATTTTATTTAACTTAATTTAACCAGAGATAATACCGTATTCTCGAAAAAAAAAACGGCGTCAGCGATGGCTATGAAATGAAGATCGGTGTCATTTTATATGGGAAATATCATCAATCGTCATTTCCCATTCAACTGGACGCTGTTTTTTTTTCGATCATACGGTATTTTGCTTTTCATAGTGTTTTCTTAATAAACTGCACTGAAAATGAACTTGTGCAGCTTTTAGATAACACCCTGTCAATCAGAGTTATTAATATATACTTTTGCACACAGAATTTGACACAGAAACAAGAATTTCTATAATGAAATGAAAAAAAGAATAAAAATGTGCTGTAAAACTAAAAAAAAATTGAAAAAAGGACGTTGACTTACCCAGACTTTGACCACTTATTATAATCTTCCTCCAGAGAGGTGTCCTTGACAATTTTTTGATCCAAGTAGCTTTTTTCTTCATCTACTGACATGGATTGGTTGATATCACTAACCAGAACCTTCTTTTTATCCTCTAATTCTGTAAAACAAGACAGAAAAACCAACAATATACACAAAAAATATATTTGATGAAACTCAACAAATGATGTATCATAATTAGCACAATTATGATAATTCTAGTAATTTTTTTTCTAATGCTGAAGCTTCATTCAGAACCTGAAAATTTGTGGAATAAATTAGTGGTCTCAATAAGCGTAGAAGTTTGTTTCTCTAATTTCAACGTAAGCATTTAAAATGCCAAAATTAGCGGTTGTAATTTTCAATTAGTAGAAAAAGTTAGCAAACTTTTAACTTTATCCAGTAATTACAGTTCAAAATTTGCAGGTAATGTAATTTTCGTCTTTGATTATGAACTGTCAAGAAAAATTATGGTTAGAAATGAAAATTTTATTGTTTTATAAAGTAATTTACAGTACAAGTGTGTTTATGAACATGATTACAACAACGAGTGTGAACGATTAGAACGACGAAAGAAAATGCTGTTTTTATTTTCGTTTATTAGTCGCCCACCTTTAACTATGACATTTGTCACATTTTTTTACTAAAAATATTGCTTGTTTTTTATGCCTCAATGAACCGAAGAAGTATACAGGACACGCTTTTAGACGCACATCTGCCTCATTGCTGGCGGACTCGAGGGCAGATCTACTAATGGTAAAGCGTCATGGAGGTTGGAGAAGTAGTCCCGTCGCAGAGGGATATATAGATACATCAAAAGAAAAGAAGAAAATTGTTGCGCAGCACATTTTGGGATCAAGAATCGCTGAGGATGCATGCCAGCCCGAGTGCGCGCCAAACCGATCAACAGCCCAATTTATTTCAGTTAGACCTTCACTATTATCATCGCCATCATCATCAGCAGTAGGAATTGTTTTGAAGAAGTGTAAAAAATGTGTTATTAATATTTATAATAATTAGTAGTAGGAATTTGTATCAAAAATTAATATATTTAGATGTTCGTAGTTGTTTTTCATTATTATAAAAACTAGTTGTATTATATATACATTCATAACCCCACTAGTTTTGTTATGAATCTCATAACGTAACTGAAATACTAAAAAAATAGTGATGTAAAAACGTTATAACTACACGGTTGTAGATAAAGTAATTTATTCCACTAATCTCGAGGTTAACTAACTGTTTATCTCATGATGCTTTTACTTTCATTGTATACACTTACCAGTCTCTACTGAAGTTTCACCTTCTTCTTTTGGTACACCAATGGGTTCATACCCGTTATCCTGTGACGTTTTGTCCTCTTGTTTTTTCGATTTCTTCTTAAAAGACACCTTCTTCTTCAAACCTGAACCTTCAGACTTCAGCAAAGATTTAAGTTCCTCAGATTTAGTGGGTTCATTGAGTCCATCTTCTTCATCAACCACCATTTTTTCAACGTCTTGAGTCTGGACAGTAGGTTCTTCAGACGATTCTTCAACAGTCTGCTGTATTTCTTCTTCGATAACTTCAGTGTCTTTAGTAATTTCCGGTTTCGCATCTTCTGCTTCTTCTGGCTGTTAAAAATTATCATTTATAAAAAGAAATAAAGAAATCTACTAAGATATTTTTATATATACTTTAGGTACTAGAGATTCCAAGTCGTTTGTTGAGCTTTTCTCACTACTGCCTCCATTTTCCTCACTCACAGTTTCCAGTGTTTTTCTTTTTGTTTCTGGGGAGACATCGTCCACAACTTTTTCCGCTAATTTCTTCAAACTTCCGAAGAAAACCATTTCTTCTGAAGATGGCGTTTCAGGTATCTCGGAAACCTTTCAAAAATGATTCAATGTACAGTGTGGTGTAAAAAATAGTGTGGTTGATTTTCAGTTGGTAATTCTACCGATAAAAATTAATCAAAAAGTTCGTATACTAACCTAACCTAACCCACCAAAGTGAGATACACTATTTTTTGACACCCTGTATAAGTAACTAATTTTATTTTAAAACGAATGCTCTTTTAACAATAATAATTACCTTCTGATCCAAAAATTCGTCGTCACTTGGTGGCGTCAAGAAAATAAAGTGGATATCGTCGTTCTGAGTACTTATCGGACTCATACTATCCAAACTATCCGTTCTCTCCTCCTTTACAGCTTCTGGCTGATCAGGCTCAGTCTTCTGAGCTCCAGATTCAAACTCCAAATGCGAGAATTCATCGGTCTGACCTTCTGGAGGTTTTAGAGGTATATGAATGTAAACTGGCTGAACAGGTTTGGGAGGTTCATAAACACCAGTCTTTGCTGCGGCTGTCAGTTTCGGTTTTTTAGGTTTTTTAGTTTCTTCTTTTTTCACTTTTTTAGAATCAGATTTCTTTAAACTACTCAGCGACAGGGTGCTTCTGATCTTCTCGGAAGCTTCCTTCAGTTTCTTCATGATTCCTAGCTTGGACAGGCTTTTTCTGCTGTAACTACTGTCAATGGAAGATTTTCGTTTTCTTTCAGGTTCTGCGCTTTTGCTCCGAACACCGCGAGATGTTTCAGGTGTTGGTTCTTCAGGATTTTCTGTTCTGGCCTGAAACAAACGGTCAAAGGGATCTTCTTTGGTCGATTCGACGTCAGAAGATTGAGCTTGTTCAGCTTCCTCGGGTTTTTCTACGTCCAAAACTTCAGTAGGTGCTTCTGGAGTATCAATTTTATCTTCTGGACTTTCTGGTTTCTCTACATCAACGTTTTTCGGTGGTTCCTTTTCACTTTCGATAGACTGGGCGTTTTCTTTTTCTTTTAACTTCCTCACATCCTTTAAAAGTTGTTTAAATGCTGGATTTATCTTCAAAGGGGGTTTCCTGGTGACTGTAGCTTTCCTTTTTGGTGTTTCTTCTGGTAGTTCTTCGGTGGTTTTTTTATCTTCTTCTTTAATTTCATTTTCAGGTGGTTTTTCTTCTGCTGGTTCTTCGGTGGGTTTTTTATCTTCTTCTTTAACTTCAGTTTCGGGTTGTTTAGCTCCATCCTCCAAGTGGGAAAATTCATCTGATTCACCAGGAGGTGGTTTTAAGGGTATGTGAATGTAAACAGGCTTTTCGTCTTTTTTCGGCTTGATGTTTTCCTGATTTTTCTTGGTTTTTGGTTCTTTTTTAGGTTTTTTCGATTCAATAGGCGGACTGCCTTTTCTAGCGGTTTTTCTGGTAGCAAAAGTGAGTTTGGGGACCTTAATTTTTGTTTTGGCTTCTCGAATTTTCTTTATTACGTCGAGATTTGACAGGCTATACTTGCTTCGACTGCTGTCTGCTGATAATTTTCGTTTTTTTGGATCTGTACCTTCATTTAAATCTTCTCGTTCTGCAAGAAAAAGTAATGCAATTAGAAAAAAAAATTGTGTGTGCGCGTAAAAAATAGTTTTTTTGCATAAAAAATAGTTTATTAAGTGTAACAAATAGTTTTATACGCGTAAAATTAAAAAATAATAAAAATAGTTTTTTACGCGTAACAAACAATATTTTTTACGTTTAACGAAATATACAGAGTCCGACAACAGTGCGTCGGACATCTGTAGCTCCTAAAATAAAAAAAAAATTGGGAATTTTGTTTAAAAGTGCAGACCTAAAGTATGTACTAGGATGTATTTCAGGAAAATATTTTAACTTCTATAGGGTGGCTCAAAAAAGTGTGAGTAGATTAAGATATTTTTTTTAAACGGAACGCCTTGTAAATTATTGCATTTTTAGTTTCATTTCTGATCACTTTACATAATCCTATGATATGAGTAAATATATTTTGATAGTTTCCGAGATATTAATAAATAAATGAAAAAAATATATTTTTTAGCCCCTCTTAAAAAAATTATTAAAAATACAAGGACTGTTCTAAAAAAAATGTGTTTAATTTAAAAAAAAATTGCGCCGGAAGGCACGTATAGCCGCCCATACTAAAATATGTTAATAAAAAGTTGGTAGGCAGTTCTTTTAGTTTCAAAGTAAAGGAATATTTCCAAGTTTGGTCCGCGGTTATTTTTTAATCTCCATCTAATAAAAAAATAATATATAGGGTGTTCCATTTAAAAAAAAACAAAGAAAAATTATTTTATGTTTTAGAAAGTTTGGCCAAGAAAATTGAACACCCTGTATGATTTAAGATTACGACATTTATAGCAAAGTAAGTACAGACCATCTAAAGTAAAAAACTAATATAGTTTTGATTTCAGGACAGTTCTTGTATTTAATAACTTTTTTAAGGGAGATTGAAAAAAATATATTTTTTATTTATTTATTAATATCTCTGAAACTATCGAAATATATTTACTTATATCTCAGGATTAAATGATTTGAAATGAAGCCAAAAATGCAATAATATACAGGATGTTCATCCGGATCCACTTACACTTGTTTGAGCCACCCTATAGAAGTTAAAATATTTTCCTGAAATACATCCCCGTACATACTTTAGGTCTGCACTTAAACAAAATTCTTAGGTTTTTTATTCTAGGAGCTACAGAGGCCCGACGCACTATTGCCGGACCCTGTATTATTTCTTAGATAGTTTCAAGAGGTAAAAAGAGGTAGTAGAAGGTACTTTCAACCATGAAATTTTACCTGTATCGTCAACATGTCGTTCGATTACTTTGGAGCTGCCGGGACCTCGCTCTTCCTTGTCCAAATACTGACTCACATCATCGGAACTCTCCGCTGACTCCACTTGAAACTCCCTTACTTGAACATCGTCCTCGAAACTCTTATCCTCATCCTCGATGTACTCCTCGATGAGGAACGAGCCTGCACGACTGCTCTTCGTGGAGGAACCGTCTCCAGGCTCGGACACCAGCTCCACCTGGAGGAAGGAAGGAGTGGTTTTGCCGCTGTCTGGATACGTGGCTGTCAGTTCGGAGATTTCCACGCCGTCGGACTTGCCACCCATGGCGGTGGCTGATTTGCTTCGTCTGTAAGTGGGAAAAAGAAATGAATACCACTTACTAGGATTCTTGGATTTGTGGCATTAGTTATACTGGCATGTTAACGAAAAATTTTCTCTTGATAAAAAAAGCGCTACCAGTAATCGTGTACTACCAGTAATCGTAATACATGTCATTATTTCAAAAAGTAAGCAATTTATGATAAATTTAAAAAATAAAAAGTTCCCAAATTTATCATTTCAGCCAATTTATTATACTACGGACGAAAATTTATTACTCATCCTAATATCGACGTTATATAGTTATTTAGAAATAATCAAAATTGAAATAAAAGTTCTACACCCTGTATTTCTGAAACTAAAACAGTTACGAACTTTTTTACTTATTTTTATCTGCAGAAGTTTGCCGAATATAATTCGGACAACCCTGTATATTTTTTACCTTAATGCGTCCATGGTAAAGGGGTACGGGTCTAGCTTCTCGTTGAACGGAGGTTTGTAAAGGTGAGTCCAGGGATATCCTCCTCTTCTTCTAGACCTTCTGATGTCCTCCCAGCGGTATGTTTTGATTGGTACTTTGGGGGCCTTGCGTGCTGCAAAAAAAAGTAAAAAAAAAAATAGAGTATTTATACCTAAAATTATGTTCCATCAAAAAAATTAAATGTAAAAAAAGCCAAGTCTCCCAAAGCAGTTCTGCCAGTACCTAAAAGTTGTGAGATCTCATGTAAAACCAAATCTAACTAAAAATTATAAAAAAAGTCAAATTTTCAATTTTTTTTGGCGAAAAAAAAACATCATATATACACTTCCCCAATAAATTAACGCACCACAAAAAAATGACCAAAAGTTTAAGTTAATTTTTTGTCAAAACCACTTATCCGATTTGGACGATTTTTTTTTTGAATGATAGGTTATTCTTTCCACAATGTTGCTATACTAACTGTATTTTGATAGGAACTCTTTTTATACTAATACCGGGTGTAGCAATTATAACGTGTTTTTTTAATAAAATTTGTGACACCCTGTAGGGTTGATCAGTTACAGTATCAAGTTAAAATTGAAATCACATTTTAGCCTTATCTTTTTTTTACATTATGTTTTTTTATTTACTCAATTATCTTCCTTATTACACGAGAAACAACATTTTATAGGATGACATCATTTAATATTGGTTTTAATTAACGTTTTTCCATTTTACTCACTAAAGTAAGGAGCAGGCTATGGAAAAACACGGATTACCAGTAAATGTCAAATAGAGATGCTAGTTTCTGTGCAAACTTGTAGACCATTAGTATCTTTGAGCTGAGTTTGAAGGGTCCGAGCTGTTACGAAACGTTGTCTTAATGTTGAGAGTTTTAAAAAACGTTCCTGAATCGGATTGGTTCTTCGATTTCTGCCTTTTCCCGGCCTGTGACAATTACTCCCAGTATCTCCATACCGTTGTATAACTCGTGAAATGGTTGAGTGAGTAACATTAAATCGTTCACCAATTCTTCGGTAGCTCCAGCCTTCCTCAGACAATATTAATGCTTGAGCACATTCTTCGCCAGTAAGATTTCTTGTTTCACGTGCAAGTTGCATATTTTTGATAAAATAAAAGGACGAAAACGACTGACACTGACAACAAGCATCTCTATTTGACATTTACTGGTAATCCGTGTTTTTCCATAGCCTGCTACTTACTTTAGTGAGTAAAATGGAAAAATGTCAATTAAAACCAATATTAAATCATGTCATCCTATAAAATGTTGTTTCACGTGTAATAAGGAAGATAATGGAGTAAATAAAAGAACAAAATGTAAAAAAAAGATAAGGCTAAAATGTGATTTCAATTTTAACTTGATACTGTAACTGATCAACTCTACAGGGTGTCACAAATTTTATTAAAAAAACACGTTATACTTGCTACACCCGGTATTAGTATAAAAAGGGTTCCTATCAAAATACAGTTAGTATAGCAACATTGTGGAAAGAATAACCTATCATTCAAAAAAAAATCGTCCAAATCGGATAAGTGGTTTTGACAAAAACTTAACTTAAACTTTTGGTTATTTTTTTATGGTGCGTTAATTTATTGGGGAAGAATATTTCATATAGTCTGTAAAACGAATAACTTTGAATTTGACAGTTCTCGCGGGCTTTTCTAGTGTTAATTTTATTAGGTTAGCAACTTGCGGCCATGCTGACACAATGCCGTCTCTAATAGAACAGCCTCGGAGCGAGATTTATGACGTCACGCTAGTTAGATACTACGGATTAATAAATATGTTGTAGAATACATAGAAAACATAATTATTCCTCGTATTTTTGATTTGTATTTTAAAAATGATATAGTTTACATGAAATATACATAATATACAGTTAATAAATACAATATATATACCTATTTATAGTAATAAATACTTTGGCATATAAAACTATGAACCATACAAATGCAGCAAACGCTTTACAATATGGCTGAAATCGTACTCCATAGTCAATGTAGATAGTTTTTGTGTTAAGAATAATAATTTAAAAAAATATATGGTCATCTTTTGACAAGTTTATATTAGTTTATTAATTGCAGTAAACATTATAATATATAAATAAATTTTGTGAATGCAAATAATAATACATCACTATTAGTAGATATTGAATGTTTTTTGTTAAATTAGATCGATTTTTAAACCCCAAAATTTAAATATATTTTACATTTTACCAGATTTGTTAAACTACACGTAGTAATTAATAAACTACATTTACTACATGTCACAAGTAGTTTTTTAAATGTCGAGTAGTAAATGTGTACTTTAAGTAACTAATGTAGTTTTTTTAAATAACAGTGAAAACATAACCTAAAGACTTTGTTTGTTGATCAATTTAAAGAAATAAAAAATCTATAGTTTGTGAATTTGTTCCTTATTATTTGATATTTTTGATATTTATTAGTAGTTAAAAATGCTTGGAAGACGTCGATGTCTCCATACCTTGCTCCATACTTTCTGGGAAGAGGGGTATTATGAAGTTGTGCCTTTAGATGTAAAAAATCATATATTCTCTGGAGAATGTCTATGGAGAATTTCTCCATAAGAATTTATAGTTTATTTTGTGTTCAATGTTACTTTGTATTTCGTAGAAAATACACTTTTGTTGAAAAAAAAATTGTTTTTTTTTCTGATGTTGTTTAACTTATACAAATATAATATAACTTTATACTTCCATCAGCTTCCATGATAAGAATTTGGCTTGATTTTAGTTTAAAGTCTAAATTGTTTATGTTTTACTATATTTTTGTAGGTAGTTTTTAACGTAGTTTTTGTGTAATTTTTGAAGGTAGTTTTTAAAATTTTAAAACGTAGTTAATACAAAAAACTACGCGTAGCTTTTGGCGTAGTTTTTTGCTTCATAAACTACTTAACAACCCTGCATTTTACCCATTATCTTATGCACCGCCTATTCATCATTTGTATATTGTAAAACATTTGCTGTATTTGTATGGTTCATAGTTTTATTTGCCAAAGTATTTATTACTATAAATAGGTATATATTATATTGTATATATTAACTGTATATTATGTATATTTCATGTAAACTATATCATTTTTAAAATACAAACCAAAAATACGAGGAATAATTATGTTTTCCATGTATTCTACAACATATTTATTAATCCGTAGTATCTAACTAGCGTGACGTCATAAATCTCGCTCCGTGGCTGTTCTATTAGAGACGGCATTGGTCTAATATTTAGAAATGTCAAAAGCTGATGCCATTTTACTTTTGTCAATTATGACATTTCGTGTTGATTTTTGCAAGAAGATGAAGAACTGTCACTTGTTTTATTATTTTCCTTTTCTATTTCACGAAAGTAAAAAGAGTTACGTATATGATTCGTTCAGGCACTCAATTTAAAGAATATCAGTAACTTTTTTGATTCCTAAAATATTTTGATTAAAAGAAAATATGTAAAAGTGGGCAACGCTGTGCCAGTCAAGCTTAATCACGTGACTACTAAGTTTATTTGGTATGAACTATAAGTGTTTCTGGGGTCGAAATATACTATCCCTAAAAAAGCCTCACCCTGTATTTCCAAAATTTTTCTATTATAAACTTTTTTACCTGTTTTTCAATCAATCCTAATTAACACCCCGTATATCTTGATATGTCTGTTTATATTCCGTTCTGTACGTAAATTGTGATTAATCACGTGTGCAATTACACAAAAATAAATTCGATCAAGTTCTTGGCACACGAACACTCTGTTCGTTCTGCCATTCTATTTCAAGGTGAGGAAGATTTAAAAAAAAAATCGTTAAAATAAAAGATACTCGGTCAAGTATAATGTATAGAATCAGAGATATTTAAATTTAAGTTAAAATTCGCTCTGATCTGACACAAATATATTGGTTCAGTTTCTCATATTAGTTCGGTGTTTTAAATAAAACTTACCTCAATTTGATTTAACTAGTAAAGTATTATATAAACAAAAAAAAAGAGTAAAATGGCATATGTTTTATTTGAAATTGTAACATGCGGTTCATATCGACAATTTGACTCGAAATACCAAGTGTGTGGTACAAAATTATTCGAAAAAAAATGTTCTTTTCCAAATATGCTAAGGAGCAACCCTCGTTCCATTTGAAAAAATTGAGATATGATTAAAAATACGATTTAGGCATCTTTTAACCAGCCAGGACTAGACACGAAAATCTATCATTTTTCCAAGGCTACTTGATTAAAAATTAGTTTTTTTAACACAGCCATGGCACCCTAGATTGATATTTAAAATACGATTTTTTTCAAGCGAAGATGTCAAAAGTTTACATGTGATATGTCATTTTATTCAAAGTGTCATTTTCTATCGAATAAAGTAAAAAAATACCGAGGGTACCATTTAAAAATCAAAAGTTGTAGTCATTTCCGGTGAAACAGGAAATGACCGAAAACAATTGAATACGTCAATCAATCCTAATTTATGTCATATACCAAGATACCAAAACTCGTTTTTTTATCTGACAAAATAAAAAAGTTATAGGCCGGGGTGAGCTACTTTTGAGAAACACCCGGTATATTCTCGAATAGAAAGCTAGATAAAGTCTGTCCAACGAGCCAGGGAAGATTTTGACAGACCACACTCTCAAAAAATGACAGAAAACTCAATTTACCTGTGAACTAAAATGGCAGAACTGTCACTGTCTAGGAGGTTCTCTTTGGACCAAAATCTGTTTTATTTAAATAATATATATATTTCATTATAAAGTATTTTATATTGGGTATTTCTTTAATCTTTACACATGCACATACCTACATATTATCTGACAAGCCAAAATAAATATTAAAAAAAAACTAGTGGCATACAAACCTTTGTTGTTTCTCCTGTTGCGATGTCTCTTAGCATTTTCCATCGTGACCGACACTTGTTGACAGACGCGAATATAAGAATGTCACAAACTGAACAGTCATTTTCGATGGTCGATCAAAAAACTAGCAAATCAAAATTTTTGAAATAGAAAAAACTAACTGAAAAATTAACCATTTTGGCTTATTAAAATACATTTAAAGACTAAAATTGGCCAGCAATTTTTTTTATCACTATTTTTAGTTTTGTGTCTGTGAACTACCAGTAGCGTAGTTCACAAACGGGTCAAGGCCAAACCTAATAAATTATTTAGTTCACTTTGATTTTTTATGGGTATTATAAACAAGGCTTTGACCTATTTTAACGATTTCTGCCTTTATAAACATATCCTTTTTTAAATATCTGGATATTGTGGAGTGCCCAGAGTGTTTTACCTCGGAATTCAATTACTGTCAATATATTAACGTGAAACCTTCTGTATTGTGTTTTATAGATAAAATACTAAAATGTTTACCCATTTTTTTTCGTTGCTTTTAATTTTTTATTTTAGTAATTTTAGTAAATTCTTAATTATTTCCTTCTCTTAATATATTGATTTTTTTAATTCTTTTTCTAAGTAAATTTATTGAAAGAAATAAATCTAATGCATATTATGCACCTATTCTGCTTATATTCTAATCATTGAAATTTTGATTGAAATCGAATTATACAGGGTGGCGCGTCATATGCGACGCGGTTTTTGCAAGGAGAACAAATGTTTGTATTGAAGTGAAATTTTCTGAGCTTATCTAAGTCAATTTAAAGTATTTTCTAAAATTATGTATAGTTCTACAGGGTGTCCCCAAAAAAAGTTACACATCAAAGTTATGTTTTTTGTAATGGAACACCCTATATATTAATTGATTTTTGGATTCTAGTAAAAAAATAAAGGTTTGTTTCATTAGAAAATTATATGACTAAAATGTATAGTTTTTGAAATACATTCATCGGCACGAAAAATGGGCACCTAAAAACTTTGATGTATTTTAAAGGTTAATATATATAAAACCTTTTAAAAATGGCTGAGTTTGGTTGCTCGCGGTCTGGATACCGCTCAAAATATAAATCAGCTGCCATTTGCTTATGTTTGTTAGACTCAATATAACATTCTAACATATCATATTTCTCAAAATTTTCAAATTTACTCATTTTTATATACTTCATAAAGGTATGTTCCGATCACTATGACAACCGTTTACTTTGTTACTCGGCGCGGCCTACTATCTACTAAGTGGATATTTTAAGAAAAATTTGAAATGTTGAGGTTAATAGTAAAAATAAATATAGAGTGTTATATATTTTCGAGAAGCCCATGCCAAGCTGAATAAGAATATTTAAAAATATACAAGGGGTTATATTTAAAAAAACATAAGTATAGTTAATATCTCAAAAAATATTTTTTTCGAAAAAAGTCTGACTAGGCCAATGCATTCTACGCAGAAAAGTGCCTTTAGATTGTATAATTCATTTTTCCGTGGTTGCTGAAATAAACAAACTATAGAACATCTTCAAAAAGTACAAAATTTGAGAATCCCCCTGTAGCTTCGAAACCGATCAAAATAGCCACTATCCGTTTGCGCCATTATAATTTTTTCAAAAAAAGAACCCGAGACTGCAGTATCAAAATTTGAATATTTCTCACGGTTTCCTAGATACCCTATAGAAACAACCAAAATGGTCCACCTTAAGCATGTATGTTTGGAATTTTGTGTGTGGCTTAAAGCGTAAGGATCTGGCTAAGCTTTAGGCAGATTTCTGAAATATAATATCCGAGTCTTCCGAGTTTTGTCGGCGCAAGCAAATTGTACGATAAGCCGTTGCGTCTAGGCCGTGCTTTAAGAGAAGTTTCCTGAAAACTTACAGTCAAACTATAGAAACCTAAGACAAATATTAGTTTGATCGGTTGAAAAGTTATTCAAAGGATAAAAAATAGGAAATATTAAGGCTTTCTATCTATTAGATAGTCCCACGCTTTCGTCACTGAAACCGAAACCACTTTTCGCGAGCTAGGCGCGCACTTCTGGACACCCGCGAGTTGTTGTCCGTTCCCGGCCGATCCCGCAACTAAGTCCAGGCCTATTTTTGGCCCCGCACAGCTTCTATTTTTGAAAAGTGACACGCCAGCGAGACTTCGCATCATTTCTGACGTTAATAATGCCAAACAACCTCCCAAACTTATTGTTTTTTCGATTTTGGGTTCGCCCAATTATTGGGAGCGTCCAGTTAATTGATTATTATATACAGGGCGCCAAAAAATAATGTATCTAACTTTGGTTGGTGATTCTGCAGATAAAAATAGAACAGAAAGTTCCTATGAACATGTGCCCTAAAATGCTTCCCGAAGAAGTTACAGCCCTCAAAAAGTTTAAAAAAAATAATATACCTATTTTTTTTATTTTTTTTTCATAGTAATTGTTAAAATTGTCTTATATCTATCAAAAGTAGTAGATAAAATAGTACTTTAACCGCAAGGGTAGATTAAATGATACTTTAACAGCGAGGATAGGTTAAAAACTTTATTTCTTCTCGCGCGTTTTTTAATTGCTTCCATTTTTGAAATTTTTTGTATTCTTTTTCATAAGTTATTCTGGATTTAAATGGAAGTAGTTTGGATATGGCGTTTGTCGCCTCTGCCTGAATATCTGTTGGTAATTTACTTATTTCGTTTTGAGCCATTTCTGGCTCCGATTCAATCAGCAATCGACACCACAAAACATCCCCCTTTAGAACTTTTTCTTTAATGGCCATAAGCGGGAGTAAAAGCCCAACTGCCCGAACTAACACTAGAAGCGCCACCGGTCATCAAATGGTGTAAAAATTGCGAAAATTTAATCATCTAATTTTGACACAAGGGGTCGCGCTTAACTTTTTCAATTGTAATTAAATATTCATTGTTTTCAAACTATATTATTACACTTTTTTGTTGTTTTTGTGAATGTATAAATGTTTTCTTAGTATAAAGTTGCATTATAGTAATTTAAATTATATTACATACATATTTAAGATTCAAATATTATGACATATATGTCAGTTGCCGTCTAAAATGTCATCTTGATAACAAAAAGTTAGTTATTGTCAAAAGTAGTTAAAATCATGTTAAACTATTAAAATTTACAAGTTATATTTAGATATTTTATATTATTTCAACAACAAACACATAATAGTACAGCGTAATGTGGATGTGCAGGTCCAAAACAAAAAGTGCCGTTATATTTTTCAGTTTTCGTTGTCAGCCGCGGAAGTTTCAGTGATTTTAGTGTTCTCGGATATTTTTATTTGTGAAATAGAAATATTGCGTTTAGATTGCAAAACTAAAAGTGGAAGTTTTATTGCAATGTAAATAAGCGTTTGTCCATTGTATATTTTACTTTTTTCATACCTACGACAAATATACATATATTGAAATTTTATAATTCGTTTTATTTAAAAAATGTTAGAAAACAAGCTTGTAATCCTGCAATTAACATAATTGTTATGTAATATATTCCATTTAAATGTAATATATTACTTTACAATTAAAAAAATGTAAATTTAAAAAATATATTAAAAATATATACAGGCAGAATTGAAATTTTTTGAGTGCGAACAAACACGAGAGGCGCTTTATTATTTACTTTCTTTAACATGACAGACGAAGTTCTAAAGGGGGATGATTTGTGATCGACACGAAAGTGAATTAAAAAATATTGACTCAAAACTGACAACTAAAGAGACAGCTTTATTTATTTGTCAAATTACATAGAAACCAACGCCAACCCAGCACAATATTTTTTCTACTCCTAATAAATTCCTTGAAATAATAATTCCTGAATATTTTTTAAAACGTAACTCGCTATGGAAAAAATATTGTTTTATACACGACGATAAAATTGCATTATCGTCTCCAGAAATTAATTCACTCGTGGTTTCATCGCTCGAAAATACTATTTTATCGTCTTGTATAAAAAATAAAATTCTATATTTCGAAGGGGACTATAACAAAATATCAAGCGTGCTATATTTTTGGAAAGGTAATTTTCAGTTCTTTTTACTTAATTAAAAATATACAGAGTGTCCCAAATAAAATATATTTTTTTCTGTTCTTAACTCTTAAATCATTAATTTAAAAAATATATACTTAAACCATTAAATTCTACGTAAAAAGGTGCTTTGGAAATGTTTTTACAAAAATACATAATTTTCCATAGCAAAAAAGTTACAGCAATTTGTTAAAAATGCACATTTTTGAAAAACACCCCGTAAATAAACGGTAACAAATATCGATGTGCCATTTTCACCATCATGTTTTTGATAAAAATTGAGCTCCTAACACCAATATTAGTTTTCGTCTATAACGGCCTACGCACACGTAACGATTTATCGTACTGCGAGTTGAACTGCAGATCGTAAAGAAAATCGTACGGCTTGCAGGACAGCTATTTTTTGTACACACGATGTAACACATTGTACTGCCGCAGTTCATATTATTCACTTTTCGTCGAGAAGGGCTACCGTTATGTCAAGAATTTCAAAGAAGAAAGGTGCCGTGCTTGTAGCTGCGGTATTGCTGATAGATGAAGATGATGAACAAAAAGAAATCAAAAAGCGAAAATGGTGTAAAAAGTGGTTGCTGGAGAGAAAAAAATATTCAAAAAATTTTTTTTTTCAAAAAAGTTTCATAACTGGAATTTTTTTTCATTTTATTTGCATAATCTTTTGATTTCACATCCTATAGGCATCTATTTTCTCTATATAAATCAATAAAGTTTTCCAGGACGTCTTATTATTTTTTAAATCTATAATATTGATTAAACCAAAAATAAATAAAAATTATATCGTAACTGCGCGCTGCGGCAGGGAATACACTCCACATGTTCAGACTTGCGTTCAAACCCCACCCCAGACACGACCCGTTGTTACGATATTTTACGGAAGCTCCGTACTGCAAACGATTTGACGACTGCATATTGCAAACCATCCAATTTCCCTACACACGCTACGATTTATCATTAATGCGGCAGTTTCGATGGATATGCATGCAATACGATAAATCGTTACGTGTGTAGGCCGTTTAGCTCTTATAGAAAAGGGTCTTTCCCTTAAAGCGTCGAATTTGACCCACCCTGTACAGCACCGATAAAAATATTGAAAAATTTAAAGGCAATCTCAAATCAAAAGTAACTTTCATGTATTTTTAAAAACTATCACAAAATTATTTCCAATCTCGTACTACGGGTAGTTCTCCTGGTAAATAGAGTTGAGGGAGGTGAAAAATTAAAATAAAAGGTATAAAAAACCATACAAAAATAGAAAAATATTTTATTCAAAACAAAGAAATAATTAGACAATTAAAAGAGAAAGAAGTATCACTAAAATAACACTTTATTATTATTATCACACATGGAACTCTCCTCCTTCCAGTTTTTCATCTGAAATACAATTAAACAACCATCGGGCATTCTCGTCGCTTAACCACAGAATACTCATGAGTATCCCCTCGAAAATACCAAGGAATAATCCCCCTGCAACGTCCAAGAGGTAGTGGCGTTCCATTAGGACTCTGCTAATTGCTAAGACTGTCACCCAGGCAAACATTGGAGGGTAAAAAATTATAGAGACCGGATAGAGAAAGATGAAGATGAACACTACCATGGCTGCACGACTTACATGACCTGAAAAATAAATAAATTGTTTGTTTTAGATATTTCATCGTCTTTAATCAACATGCTAGAGAATTGTTTTTCTTATTTTTTGTTCAAAATATTAAAAAAAACCTGTAAAATCAATGCATTACACATTATTACCCGATGGAAAACTAAAGTTGTCTGGACCTATCTGAGCAAATGCATCATCCTTGTTGCCCATGGGTCTCCTCCTTCGAAAATAGGCCTTTAGTAAAGCTATGGCAACAATATCCAGTATCAAAGCTGTAAAAAAAGAGAAATATAAAAGAAGCCATAATCCACATCTAAATTATATGTATTTATTTATTGATACAATACTAAAAAAATATTTTATTATCTGATTAATAAAATATATAGAATATTTAAGCATTTATGTTACAGAAATAGTCTACAATTGGATATTTTTATTATTTTTTACTCACCTAAAAGCATATTAACTTGCAAAGGTACCAAACTTGGTTTGTTGAATAACCATGTCACTGCAACCCAAAATACCAACCAAGGAATACCGTGGCAAGTTATCTTAAATAAGAAAAACGTTTAATAATCTGTTGTACTTATAATAAAATAAGTATATTTACCTCTAAAGCTTGAAAATGCATTCTTAAAGCATGTAAAGGAGACAAACTGTTTCCCCATAGTACAAATTTCTTTGTTATCTCTTCGTCTGCATTTAAAATTACTCTGAGCAATGGAGGAACTATTCTTTTACTCTAAAACAAATTAAAATAATGGTAAATTATTATTAGGTAAAACTACAATAGATATTAACAATAACTGTGTTTTATATTATAGGTGTTTACCTCAGTCATTTTGGATAATTTAAAACCATGTACCTACGATACAATACTCAAAAATTGTTATTGAATACTCGGATTCAGTACACTTTATTTCAATATAGTTGTTAAATCTAATATCACTGAATAATATACTGTATTTTTCTAAATATAAAGTCTCAAAATTCTCTGATTATGATGAATAATACCACAAATAATACGATAATAATGACATTTAAATCTTAGGTTATGTAGTAACAGTCGTAACAGTAGTAAGGGGCAATTTCAAAACTATATCGATATGTTTATTTCTCCAAATGAAACGCAGCGCAGGCGTGTGATTCAAATGTTTGTATCGTAAAATACAGTTCATTTATTATCAAAATTTTTGATTAAAAAGCCTAGAATTTGTTAATAATGACGGCCACTGTCAATGTTTTAGATCTTTCCAAGTCTTTTGATAGTAATGATTTGGCAAATATGGCAAAAGAAGATGAAAGCTCCAATAGTTTTGCAAAAACGCTAAAATTTAGTACTGATATGAGACTGACTACTCCAAAGCCTGTTCTTCATATTGGAGCATCTACGGAGGTAAATAAAATAATAAATATTATCTTTATTTTCTTATAGCGTAATT